TCCCCCCCCCCCCCCCCGCAGCCCCCTCAGGATGCACCAGCACGCACCCAGGCATGCAATGCTCTTTGCTCAGCTGTGTCTCTTGTCTCTCCTGTTCCCAGCTCCCCCTGATGAACCAGTGGAAGGATGAATTCAAAGCCCACTCGAGGGTGAAATGTCCCAATTCAGGCTGCTGGCTGGAGTTCCCCAGCATTTATGGCTTGAAGTACCACTATCAGCGCTGCCAAGGGGTAAGGAGACCGGAGGGCTGTCTGTCCTTTCCAGTGGCCAGCTCTTACATTGCCATCAACAGGGTAAAGCCCCTCTCAGGCCTTAACCCCAGGAGAAATGTGAGGTTAAAATGGGGAGGGCACAGATGGGTCGGGGGCTGTTCGTGAGGTGTGTACGAGAGGGACTGGGATCCCTCGAGGTCAGTGTGAGGTCTGGCCTGGGGGGATTGTGGACCATTGGTAAGTGCCTGGGGGGGCAGAAGGGTGTTCGTGCCTGCATCAGAAAAAGCCCCTTTTATGGTCTAACGTCCGTGCTCACCTATCTCACCCTGCTCCCCACAGGGTGCTATCTCAGAGAAGCTGACGTATTCATGCTCTTACTGTGAAGCTGCCTTCACCTCCAAAACCCAGCTAGAAAAGCATCGGCTCTGGAATCACTTGGACCGGCCAGTGCCAACCAGCAAAGCAGAAAACAAAGTGCCGAAGGCCATTGGGAAGAGCAGTGGCAAGAAAAGGTACCAGGCTGTGGCTGGGCTGCATGGTGGTGATGTAGGGACGGCTGGGAGAAGGGGAACATGCCCGCCTCCATTCCCATGATCTGGGCTGGCGAAGGGGGGAGAGGTGTCAGGACATTTGTCTAACAACCCCTCTTTAAACAAGCCCTCTGTGCTTTGCCCTAGAGCTGCTGAGAGTTCAGCTTGCCCCACCATCCATCCCAAACAGGCAAAGACGGAAAAAGCCGTGGCCCAGGACCACACCGAGAATGGCGAGTGCCTGGTGGAGAGCCGGGAGAGCAAGGAGTTTCAGATCGCAGCAGCTGAGGCAATGGCAGCCGCCACCCCCACGGCGAAGTCCTCGAGCGGCAAGGATGCCGTGCAGCAGGGGGGCAGCCAGGCCTCGGTGCAGGAGGAAGACCCCGAGAGGATGAAGCACAGTAAGATTAGAGCCTGGGGCTATGCTGGTTCAGGAGCCCAGAGAATGGTGTCCCACGGGAAGGGGCTCTGCTCCAGCCAACGCTGCTGCGAGTGTCTCTCTGAATGTATCCAACCCTTGTTTCAACATCCCGATAATTTGCCCCCCCAGTTTCTTGCAGCTCCACTGGGAGTTAAAAAACAGTTGTAGCTGTGGTGGAGGTATTTCTATAGGACCTATAGGATTGGAAATGGATTGAATTCCCTGCAGCATAGCAAGCTGCCATGTCAGCCTGTCTGTCCTCACTGAGTGTGGCAGTTTAAACCAGGGTGGTTCTGGCAAACCCATTATCCTGAAGTATTGGGACAGGGTAAGGAGGCTCACTCTGTCCATTACCACTGTGAGGCTGGCAGGCAGGGCTTTGGTTGTCCCCATCATGGCATGGGTTTACACTGCTTGCAGCACCAAAGTGAACCACCCCCAGCCACCTTAGCTGCAGAAACCACACAACTTTTGGCACTAGACAGAGCCACCACTTCCACTCATTGAATTAGCCCTGGATACCATTCTCTCTCCTGGTTTTGTGGCGTGGGAAGCAGCATCCTGTTACGGTTTGGTGGGTGGGTGCTTCATTTGACAGCCCCTGTATTTCACAGGGTAAAGGCCTGCTCAAGGTGATCCACTCCTGACGTGGAGCATGTGCCCACCCCATGCCCTGGGACTGCTGAAGCTCCCCTGGCAGTACAGTTATTTGACCAAATCTCTATCTCTGTTTCTCTCTTTTGAGTCAGGAAGGAAACAGAAAACTCCTAAGAAATTTACGGGGGAGCAGCCATCCATCTCGGGGACATTTGGACTGAAAGGTAATACAGGGGTGACTCTGGTCAGCTGTAGGGTTGTAGCTTCTCCCTGGGGTATTTCAGGGAAGCCCCTTCCCCAAGAGCTCTCCCTGTGGTGGAGATAGATGGCAGCCACCCAGAGCCTGGGGATATCACGCTGGAGGAGCTGGTGCCTTTTAACATAAGAGTGTCATAATGGGAATGAAAGGCAGCAGCAGAGCTGTCACTGATAACAACCCTGTCTGCTCTGCTCGGGAGCTTGTCGCCGGGAAATGAGGGAAGAGAGGAGAGGATCCAGGTGTGTCCAGCTGTAACACAAGAATAACAAGCTGCTGACACAAGCAAGACATGAGAAACATCATCTCATCATCATCCCACCATCCTGGGATGTCACAGTATTTCCAATAGCGTCAAGAAGGATTTCTGCTGCGTAGAGACGCTGAGTGACGCATCCGTCCCTCAGACATCGTCTCCAGTGCTGGTCGCCCACATTCAAGAAAGTGAATTCAAGGGAGAAGAGGTGTGTTACCAGGATGTTTTCTGAGAGGAGCTCAGGAGTTGGCTGCTTCAGCCTGACAAAGCAAGGGCAAGTGGGACTGTGGTCGTGCTCCATAAGTACATGCGGCTGGGCTGGAAACGAGGGAGGAAACCTGGAGCATCCCTGGCACGAGAGTGGCTGGATTCGGACTGGCTATGAGATTCATTCAACCAGGGAAATAAAAAGCAGATTTCCAGGCACTGCAGGAGGCAGCACCTTCTAGTACAAGAGGCACTTGGCGGAGAGGCACTAATGGCTTTGAAGGAATTAAACACTTAGCAAAGAGCAGGCTGGATGTGGTCTCTGCGATTTCCTTTCCCCTGGCTCCTGGGAAGTCTGGGGTTGTTACCCTTAACTTCCCCACAGAGGCACTGCTATAGACTGAAACGTCTGCTGTGGGTTCCTTGAGAATAAGCCGGTCCCCCTGGTGACCTGCTGCCTCAAATAGAGAGTGAAGATGGGGCAGGCATTTGCCTTCATCCCCGGGGTTCAATGCAGCAGTTCACTGCCCAAAGGCAAGGGTGCCACCAGCTGTCCCAGCCAAAACCAGCACACCATCGTGGGTTGCTGCCTCCATTCAGACCCTGGGTTTGCAAGAGCCACGACCCACAAATTCAAGGACATGTGGACCCTTGCAGGGCAGGCGTGGATTTGACCCTGGCACTCACTGTGTTGCCTCCAGCACCTTCTGTGGAAGTGGAGGCACAGGGCTGAACTCCACATGGATTTGGGGGAGGTGGACCCAGCGGAGAGCCCCCCTGCTCTCTTCGCCGGCCTTTCTAAAGCGTTGTTTGCAAGTTGTGTTTTCCGTAGTGTCGTTTGCAAGTTGTGTTTTCCATTTCTTATGTCAGCCCAGGAACTGCTGAGGGATTCGGTGCAGCAGAGGGGGATCGGGTAGCACTGCCGCTGCTGGCATGGCCTCAGCATGTGCTGAGCCTCCTCCTGCTCGCTTGGCCCTGCTCCGTGCAGGGAGGATACTTCTGTGGTTGGCAGTGACGCCTTTAGCAGTCTGAATGGGAAGCACACGCTTTGCCTGTGCAGCCATGCGGGGATGAGGCACGGGCAAGGTGGGAGGGTGGATGTGTTCAGGAGAAGCTGACTGAGAGCCTGGCGCTCTGCCTGCATGGAGAGCCCTGCCTTCAAGTTCCTCTCCGCTTTGCAGGCAGGCTTGCCGACAGTCACCAGCAACCCAGGGCAGCTGCTCCAGGTTTCCTCTTCCCCGTATGCCTGTTGCCCAGTCACCCCTCCTCTCCTTCTGTTCCTTCCTGACCCTTCCCAGCACCTGGCAGGACCAGGAGAGGCCTGTGTTCATTGTGACAATTGCATACGGATCCAGCCATGAAAGGTGCTGCGTGATCTGGTATCTGGTATCCCAAAGTCTGCCCAGTTTTCTAAGAGGGACCCTGGTCCCTTGGCGTAAGCAGTTAGACAGCCTTTCCGGTGTAGGAGCATTAGCAGGAGCATCACTTTTATATCCTGAATTTGCTGTTCCAATTCCCCCTTTCAGTTTCTTGCAAAATGCCCTTTTGCCTCCTCCTCAGCCTGTCTTTCCCACAGCCTGCCTTGCTAGAAGCATCCTACCCCACTTTGCCATGGTGTTTCCATAGTCCATAAACTGTCTGGGTTGGGGGAAATGATTCTGTTTATAAACCACCACAAGCTGCTATGATATTGCTTGTCATAATTATGGACCTGATCCTACACATACAGCCTTGGCAGACCTACAGCCAGCTCAGTGTCCCTGGGTTAGAGGTAGAGATTTCTTACATGCTAAATGCGAGTTGGTCTGAGGCTATTAAAGCAAGTCCTGAATGAAAATCTTCTGTCTACAGGTCTCGTCAAAGCAGAGGACAAGGCGAAAGCCCATCGAGCTAAGAAGCTGGAGGGGAACACCAACACAGAGGAGCTGAAAAAGAAACCTCCAGGAGCTGGTGTGAAGAAGGAAACGGCTGTGCATCTACCAGCAGGTGAGGCTGGCAGAGGCAAAGCACAGGCAGTAGCTCTGTGTGCAGCTTAGCTGCTTACTCTCTGCTCTGCTCCAAGCCTGCACAGTCCCCACCTTCACCTGCAGCTAGCAGTCCCCACACCACTCCTGGCCCAGCAGGCTGTTTGCTGGGTGAGTTTTCTGGCAGGTTTGCGAGGAGAAGCAGCACAAAATCAGAAGTAGGAGCATGCAGCTCCTGCCCTTTTGAGGCGTAGCACAGATGGGGGAACAGCCGCTGCTCTCAAATAAAATATTGGTGCAGCCACAACTGACATCCTGAAGGGGGTACCTTACCTTCGCATCACTGCCAGGACAGATTGCTGCAAGTGTTGGGAGTTGATAGCCAAATCCTGGTCCCACCTGGCTTCACTGTGACCACAATTTGGGTTGGCATCTGGGATGATGGCACTTTTCTAACATCATCTCCATGAATGACACCAATGCCTAACTCTGGGCATGATTATGTCTTCCCCAAGCCTCTGAGGTGCAGCCTATACCCTAGCACAGGTTGCTGACTTTCCCTGGAAGCTCTGACAGCAGGAGGAATGCAGGATGTGCAAGATAAACACAGCTGCAATGCCTTGCACTGCTTTCAAATTCAAATAACAGACTCTCTGATCTCACAGCCATGCAAAAGCTTCCAAATAAACAGGCTTGGTGGATTTTATTCAGACTGGGCTTTCCTTGCTGGAAGCCCAGCGCTGTTCTGCTGAGGACACGGCGTGAACTCTAGACCTGGGAGCAGGTTTTGGCCCCATGTATCTCTTAGTTCGGGTGTTTTTAAAGCCTGTCACAGCTATTCAAATAAACAGATGCCTGGAAGCTAGCACTCCTCTAGCTGCCTGGATGTCTGCCGGGAAGAGGATTGCCAGGGAAGCTTTCCAGGCACATGTCTGGGTAGAGCTGAGATGCTCACCTTTGTTTCACTCCCGCTAATTGTTTCATTTGGCAAGGGGCAGTTATTCCATGCAGGGCAAGATGAGGTGGCCGAGAGCATCATCATGTTTTAACTCCCAGTGCGCAGGATACCAGCAAGGTTGGAAAGATGAACCTCCTTTTCCCCATGAAATGCCAGCAGGTCAGGTAACTCCACATAAAGTGGCCCAGTGACCCAGTTGCTCAGACAGCTGCAGGAGCTGTGGGGCAGGAAGACCTGCATGGTTTGTGTCCAATTTTGGCTTGGCCCGTGCCTGGGAGAGTATTTCTCTGTTTTTTTAGCTTCAGGAACTTTCCCCACTTCAGTGCTTTTCAACGTAGCAAATCAAGGCTTATGACGGGGCTGTCCTCTGCCGAGCAGCCCAGGCATGTTGTGGTCTCTGTGGCTGGGCGTAACTCCTCTCTCCTCTCCCTCACCAGCAAACCCCGAGGACCAGTGGCAGCGGGAGATCAGCGAGAAGGGAGAAGTCGCCTGTCCAACCTGCAGTGTTATAACCAGGAAAACTATTGTGGGCCTCAAAAAGCACATGGATGTCTGCCAGAAAGTAAGGACTTGCTTTATTCAATCACGCATATGTGGATATTGGAGGGGAATGGATGTGTCCCTGTGCCATTCATAAATGTGTATTGGTGCTCCTAAAACCAGTTCTGGGCTGTGTTTGATAGAACACTTGCTAGTCATCTTCAGAGAGCTGGCATCAATTCAGAGGGATTTGGACACCTAATTCTCAGCAATTCTGAATCCCTTTGTGGTCTGGGCCCCTTGCCCTAGGGTCTCCAGCAGAGTCAGGTATTTCTAGTAGCTAAATGAATAGTTTTAAGGCTGGAGAGATTGTTGGGGTTGTCTCTAATCTGGCCTCCTCCAGAGTCCTAGCTGTGGGATTTCACTGTGTGCCATGCCTTGCATCAGGCCAGATAAATTGTGGTTGAATGAGAGCATGTCTCGGGGAGACACCGAGCTTGGATCTGCTCAGGCAGCCTGTCAAGACACAGGAGTTCAGTAATGGTGCAGTGAAAAATTGTCTCTCTGCCGCACTGCCATCCATCAGAGCACAGGATTACGTCTTCATCCGTCACCTGGCGCGGTGCAGAGCCATCACCACAGAAAGCCAACATGGGATCGATGCCTCCTGCTTTGAAAATATGTGGCTCAGCTTTGATTCCACATTCATTTTCTATAAATGCCTCCTCAGCCTTTGCCGTGCTATTTATACAGCAGTGGGACGCTACTCTCCCTTTCAAACCCTGTACTACTTCGATGCCGGGCAGCATCCTGCCTCCTCTGAAGCCCTCCTGGATTCAGTGGAGTGGGCATCTTGGCCATCACTGCTCATATCTCCTGTGCTTTAGAGCATCTCCCAAGCCAGGCAGTCTCCACGTCAGCTGCACGGCCAGCCGGCCTGCTGAGCATGACTCCGCCAGAGCAGTCAGGCCTGTCTTTCCCGCTATGAATAGGCTAGTGAGTGTTCAGCCGAGGAATTGGGGCTCCAGCCCAAGGAGCAGGTGTTTTGTCACCCTTCCCTGGGAGACACGGTCCTTGCTGGGGCTGGCTGTGCTGCTCCAGGAGCTGGGGTGCTTTGTGGAATCCCTGCCAGAGCAGCCTGTGGCCCAGGGAGGACAGTCCCTGAGCTCTGTGTGTGTGACCACAGGTCCAGCTCTCAGCATTTCATCTCTGAGATGAAACTATGGCACGTCCTTTGCGAGGCCCAGCTGCTACAGGCACGTGGTATCCCCATCAGAAGTGACCCTGGAGTGCAGGCGCCCTCCCAGCTTGCTCTCTGCTTTAATGATTGAAGTATTTCTTAGCTGGACAATGGGAAAAGGATGTGCAGGCTCCCGAAACTCTTACAAAACAACGGAAATCGGTTTCTCCATTCGTTCCTTGTCACTAAGCAGTCTGCCCTGTTTCCTTTGGTTTTGGAAAGGAAATAAAGGATGGGGACAGTTGCAACATGCTGGGGCCTGAAGGAGACGAGGGCAGGTATATCATTCCAGCATCCCAGGTGGGAGGGCTTGTTAGAACATGGACATGGCATGTTCTTCAGTGTTGACAGGAGGACTAAACCCCTAATTGGCTGGCATTGACATCTGATGAGTCAAGGAGTTTTCAGCATCCACCTTGTTAGGCTCAAGCACTTGGGTCTGGAACAAGGTTAACCGATGGGAGCACAGGTATAAGTGAGTCATTCCCAGCTGGCTGCAGTGAGTTTATTCTTCATTTCCCCGGAGCTCCAGGATGAGGAGGGTTTTGCAGCTCTATCTTCACTCCCTCTCCAGCTTCTAGTCCAGGCTTGATTGAAGGAGAAGTGTGAAGGTGGGGTATCAGCCAAGCAGGAGGAGCAGGAACAGCCATGGCTGTCCAGGCACTGGCTTCCCATCAAGACATCCCGTCTCTAGGTGCCCAGAGTGTTCACCTCCTAAGTCAATAAATTCTGGTACCTGCCCCAGCAAAAGTCATGATCTGCTTACTCACTTTTCAAGTTCCCCCTGTACATCGGTGTGTGCATTTAATGCATCTCCCCAGTCACTCAGGAGGCCAAGTCGGGTCAAACAGCAGAGCAGCATGAGGCGGGAAGTATTCTGCTGTGATCGTGTCCAGCAGCGTCTTAATTTCAAACAGCCCAGGCGCCCAGAAAGTGTATTGTACGCCAGCATCTGTGGTCGTTAATAGAGCTGCAGAGCATAGTCTGCTAACATATTGGTAGATGAAAGCGTCTTCTCTTTCCTAACCCTTTAACAGGAAGACTAAGACACCAGGTCCAGATGTTTCCAGCCAGTGGGGCTTTAAATCTACATCCAAAATGGAATGTTTTCCAAAAATTGGGGCATATGGGTTTGATAACAGTATCCAGGACAACAGAGAGAAAACTCTGAGCTGCAGACTGGGACTGCGATGGGGGACAGGGATGCTGCGTTGCCTGCTGGGTCCCACCGCTGGGTACTGCTGCAGCAACAGCTACCTATGGGGCTTATTGACAAGCAGCAGCAGCCCTTGGAAAAATGAATGGTGGACTGTGGCCTGCTCGGTGACTTGACTTTAATTTCTTCAGCTGCAGGACGCCTTGAAGTGTCAGCACTGCAAAAAGCAGTTCAAGTCCAAAGCTGGGCTGAATTACCACACCATGGCTGAACACGTCAGCAAGGTAAGAGAGCTGGGCTGTTCTCATCTCACACCTCATTTCTCAATGCAGATGCAGATGATGAAGCAATCGGCAGTCTGCTTTTCTTTGTCTTTATAAAGGAGGGATTCACAACACGCCACCATCTTTGCAGTATTTCACATGCTGTTCAGTCCAGACGGTGGCCTTCCCCCTTCCCTGCCAAGCAAAACTATTCCTTCCCAGGCAGCTAGTTAAGCTCACGTTGATCCTGGGGAGTAGAGTATAGGGCTGGAAAAATAAAACAGAATTTCAAGTACCAGAACAGGGTAAGAGTCGGTGAGTACAGTGAGGTGGATTTTGAGTGGCAAAGCTCTGCCTCCAAAACTGCCCACAAATCCGGGACTGATGGGTTCTGCCTTGCATGAATCTCAAAATCCAGTCTTTAGCTCTCCACAATTCATGTGAGAAGTAGCCACAAAATTTTTCATGAATAAAATCTGGCAGGCACCAATTTAGATGCTGTTCTTAAAAATCTGGTCATGTACATCTCCGAGATACCAGGGCAAGGCATAACCGCGTTTCTACATGTCCCGTGCTTACCAGTTGTGACTTGTCTTTTACCTGTGCATTAATCTCCTGCTCTTCAGTCTGGTTGGTGAATCCGTGCAGGAACTGCTCCTGGGTTTCTCAGCTGGCCCTTGGCGTGCAAACACAGGAAAGGCATGAGCAGATCTGGCACCTAATGGTGAAGGCATTGGCATGCAGTAAAACAGTGGGAGATCCAGCTCTTCTAATGAGAGGTTCCCCCCCAGCCAAGGAAGGGCAGCTCCTGCGAGGCAGAGGTTTACCACTCACTCCTGGCACAGAGGACATGAGTAAATGGTTGACTCTGTCGCTTCTGTTACTTCCTTATTTCCAGCCTGTTCCTGTGGAAACCGCTGGACTTGGTGAACAGGAAGAGCGGGAAAGGCTGAGGAAAGTGCTAAAGCAGATGGGAAAACTGAAATGCCCCAATGAGGTACGAGAACGATTCCTGTTTCTCGTTCTGTGAAAAGGTGGAAGGAGTGAGTCCTGGTGCAGAGGGGGACATGCACTCTCCAGGCATCCCTTGGCACACACTCGACTTTGCCACCTTAGCTCAGCCATCCCGGTCCCTGTCCTGCTGGCTCCGTGCGCTCCAGCGATAAGCCGTCCCGGCAGGAGGGCGGGCATAGGGCAGGTTGAGGAGCGCTGAAGGGCAGATTCTGCCTCCTGAGCTCGGGAGGGGGCACAACCGGCATTGTCCTGGGCGCAGCATAAAACTAAACCAAACCACATCAAAAAACGGTCGCAAGCTGGTGGCAGACAAGTCACGAACAGGTAACGGGGCGTGTGGCAGAGGTTTGTCCCCACAGATGCTTTACTCTCCACACAGGCAGTGCCTCCCCAACGCCTTTCCCTCCCGCTGCCCGCTGTGCGTCTGTCCAGGGAGCTCTGTCGGTGTGTCGGGGCAGGTAGTGCCAGAAGCAGCCCCTGTCCCTCCGTGACACTGTTGTGCCTGTGCATGGCTCTTTGGGGGAGAGGGGCTGGCCGGCAATCCCCCATCGCTTGGAGGGGATGGGTTGATGGAGCTGCTCTGCGGAGGGGGCTCCTTGGGACGTGTTCCTCCCCGGAGCGATGGCAACCCAACTGTTTTGACATGGGCATGTGAAGCCCCAGCCCTCCTTAACCCTCCCCTTCTCCACATCTCTGTAGGGCTGCGTAGCCAACTTCTCCAGCCTGATGGGCTACCAGTACCACCAGAAGCGGTGTGGGAAGCAGCTCGCTGAGGCTGACAAGCCTGTCTTCAGCTGTCCACACTGCGGCAAGAAGTACAAATCCAAGGCCGGCCATGACTACCATGTGCGGTCAGAACACACGGCCTCGGTGAGCCCCCCGGACGCCTCCGCAGCCCGAGGAGCGGGGCCATCCCCCCCTGGGGGTGACTGCAGAGCTACAGAGCCTGTGGGCAGGACAGAGCCGGGCAGGGCCGGGCCGGGCAAGGCAGGTGCAGACATCGGACCGATGTTGTTTTCTCCCTTGCATCACCACGCGCGTGTGTTGGACCATGCGGTGTTGGGGGGGAACGGGCTACAGCCCCCTCTGTCCCTCCAAAAAAGCAGGATGCTGCGTTTATGGGAGCAGAGCGGTCGGCAACATTCCCTTTCCCTGATGCCCACGGCGCTGCGCTCTAGCCCACCCTGCATCCATGCTCTGCAGGGGAAAAAAAAACAGAGCTCAGGCTGCTCCCTCTGCAGCAAGTGCCGGCTGCTTGCCAGTGCTGGGGTGGCAGGATCCGTCCCTGGGGAGCATCCTTTTCTGTTCTGTTGATCCCTACTGACAGTGCATCTGACGCCAATAACTCCCTAACTCTAATAAATGGAGACGTTTATACACGTGGGAACGCGAAAGGATGGCATCAGTCTAATGCACGGCTGGCTGCTGGGCTGAGGGAGGCGGGGGTGCTCCCCTTGTTCCCGTGCTCGGGTGCAGAGTCATGCTGGTGTCTCTGCAGCCCCCACCTGCACACAGCAGGTCTGCAAATGCACAGCCCAAACCCCAGCATCCCTGTCCTGGGGCCGGAGAGCTCTCTGCTTCACCCCTCATCATGCCCTTCCTGACTCTGGCTCTGTTGCAGCCTCCGGAGGAGCCAGAGGTGAAGCCGGAGCCCGGCCCCATAGAAGATTTTGAAAGGACCCCGAGTGGCCGCATCCGTCGGACGTCAGCCCAAGTAGCTGTCTTCCACCTTCAGGAGATAGCGGAGGACGAACTCGCCAAGGATTGGACCAAGCGGAGGATGAAGGACGACCTGGTGCCTGAAACGAAGCGGGTGAGAAGCCTTTATTTCTCCTTTTTTTGCATTAGCTGTACACTGAGATCCTGGGATGCTAGCATGGCCCCGGCTGGCTGAGGGCTCACGTGTCTCATTTTCTGTGCCTTAAATCAATTAGCTGTGATGGCAAATTTATTGCTAAAGCGTCCACCCAGCACGGGCTGAGCCCCAGTGGTCTGGAGGCTCCATACAAGCCTGGCAGCAGGCATCTTTGCCCTTTCCACTGCCAGGACCCAAATCTAAATGGAGCAAAAGGTGGTGCTTTGTGGGCAGTGGAGAGATCAGAGTCCAGCCCAGAGGATGTTGTGAAGGGAGGTCAGTTCTGGTCCGTGCTCAGCAGTGAAGTAGGGGCTGGCAGCCAAGAGGAGCACGTGAAGAGAGCAGAGGTCGCATCTGAAATGATCTCATTTGCACTGTTAGAGAGCAAAGATGCCTTAGGCAGAATTTCCTCCCTTCCATGTCTCTTCCTTAATTTCTGGGAGATGCTTCCCCAGAGGTAAAGGGCCTGCAACATCGCTGGAGCAATGCTCCTGCGAGTGGAGGAAGCCAGAGCGCCGAGGCAGGGCTGAGCCCTGCAGTCTCCAGCAGCAATGCACGCATGGCCTGGTGCTGCACGATCTGCATGGTGAAAGTTGGTGCCCTAGCAGTCTTGAGCTTTGTGGAGGCATTGGAGTAACATGTGAAATCAAATGTCCCTCCTGGCTGTGGGAGGAGGTGATTCCTGGGAATGTCCCAAAGCTGAAATTCCCTCCAGGAACGCTCCTTCTGGACCATAAAAGGAATGAAACAGCAGTAAATCATAAAACTTTTCAGTGTAAAAGGGAAAAAAGAGAGGGAGTCGGAGCTTTTTTAATCCTGTGGTTGATACTTTTTGGCCAGCGCCAGGACTCAACACAGAGCTATCCTGCAAGTATCTGCACAAGTGGCAGCCTGTTTCCTGAGCAAGTAACTCTGCAGTTAGGTGCCAGGTCTTTACCTTGCTCTGAACAGTTGGGCATTTCTTGTCCAGTGCTCCAAAATTCACCCTGGGCAGGATATTGGGCACGTTGGAAAGATGGGAGTGAGAAGCAGAGGGCAGCAGGTTAAAGCTTTGCCGCAGGTGAAGAGCGTGGTGGTGCCTCTGTCCTGAGCACGCAGAACAGCCCAGGCCTGCCTCAAGCCAGGAAAACAGCCCAAGTCCCAGAGCCAGCCTGGAGAAGCGATGCAACTCACCCCAGGAAGATGAGTGGCACAACAGCAGAACTTCAGCTGAAATGCCTTCCCGCTGCCGCAGCCTGTCCTGTGCTGTCCTGGCACGTGTGTGTTCTCGGCAGAAGTGCCACCGTTGTCCTGCAGAGACCTGGAGGAGCTCAGCCAGACTCGGCTCCCAGTCTGCATGTGGTGGGCAGGTGAAAAACCAGCACAGAAACAAACCAGCATCTTCTTTACCTGCCTTGGCATCCTGGTGAGGCAGCTGGTGCAGAACAGGACACAGCCACAGAGCAGAGCTGGGGGTTTTAGGGCCAGAACAGGTTGCAAACTTTCTATTTCCTGATGCTTGGTGGTGGTGGTGGTGGTTTCCAGATGACTTCAGCTGCAATGCATTTATAACATAAAAAAAATCAAGCCTAAAGTAGCTGTTTCATTTCAAATACTGTGGGAGGAGAGGTGTGGTGCTCTCTTTTCCCCCTCCAGCCTCAGCACTTGCATTCCTCTCTTTCCTCCTTGAATTGCTCCCCTTACTCTTGACTTTGGGTATTTTCTGTTTGAATTGAGGGAGCAGCCAGGACTCCCAGGCCTGCACAAGGGGCCCATGTGGCAGCTGACATACAAAGGCCTTGTAAAGGTCTCGGCTGCTGGCATAATTGCTCCGTAAAATGCTGTTTGTGGTGGTGGGTTTCTTTATCAGACATTTCTTGTGTTCAGAGTCCAATTGTTTAAGTTTAATTGAGCCACATTGCGGTGCTAAAAAACAAAGAGTATTGCTGTGGGATTGGCGGAAGCAGGTTTGCATTGAAGATGAGCAAGGGGGGAGTTGGACCAGCTCCCAGGTGGCAAAACAAGGCTCTTGGCCTGGAGGATCAGGACCTCGGGCCCTGCACGGGCTGCTCTCCCCAGCTGTGCTGGCTGCGTGTCGCACAGATGGATTTCAGAGGAGGTCAGTGCAGTGGGCAAATACGTATGTAGCTGTGAGTGTGCCTGCGGGTACGTCTTGCAGTGACTGTCACGTTCCCTTGACAACACTCTAAAATATTATCTGTTGAGTCTATGACATTTTTCTTGACGAACGATGCTGGAAGGAAGTGGGAGGCAGGTTCTGCCCAGGGAGGCTGGTGGGAGCTTGCTGACTTCAGCACACTTTGTGCTGCTCTGCTGAGCAGCATCTTGCATCGCTCAGGACTGGTCTACGTTTACAAGTTGCTTCAGTTCAGGGTGTGGAAAAAAACCTCCCAGCTGCTAGCAACTCAAACACACCAGCAAGTGCCCAGTTTGACCCTGTTACAGCCCCCAAAATAGCCTTTCCCTCAGAACTGGCTTCAGCCTTGCTGGCAGGACAGCTTTGTGGCGGGTCCAGCCCCAGGCAGCGTGGGAGGCTCGGAGGAGTGGGCAGCATCCCCACGTCCCCATGCCACCGCCCCACCGAGCACGCGTGGTGGCCGTCCCTCAAAGGGAGCTGACAACCCAGAGCCACCGGAGCAGCAGAAAGACAAACGCCAGTTAATCATGACCAGGACAGTAGGACAAATGGTTCCCAGAAGAGGTGCCACACCATCGCTTCTTCTTCCCACGGGCCGTATCCAGCCAGTGGGAGTATGCTGCGGGGCCTGCAGGCCCCCTCACTGACTTGGACCTGGAGAGAGGTGGGATGTCAGGGATCGGCAGAAGATTTCAACTGCTCCTGCACCATCTCAGCAAGACCGGGGATTTCCAGGGTCCTGGAGGAATGGATGCTTCCCAGCTCCGGTCTGTAACCAGTGATGGCTGGATGCACCCACGCTTGCTGCAGCACAGGACCCACTCCATCCCCGAGCTCTCCGGTTATCCGCCACAGTCCCAGCAGTCAACGTTGATTTCAAGGGAGCTGATGGAGAAAGCCACCCCTTCTCTCCATCCCTTTTCCAGGCAGCAAAGCTTTTCCGCAGGGGAAGGCAAGCAGCTGCTTAGCAAGCCGATGGGATACTGGGGTTTGCAGACTCCCAGCAGGCACGGCCCCGCTGCAGCCCCTGCACCGTGGCCTGCCCTCGTGGCCATGTGGCAGCTGGTCCCGGCCGGGGAGAGGGACGTTGGGTTTGGATCCCGTTGGTGGCCCGCGGTGGGATGCGTTTGCCTTTCCCCGGGAGAATGGATTCTTTCGCACCAAAGCAATGGCATTAGAATAAACGATTGCTGCTCGATCCCAGGCCCTGCGCTGCCTTCATTCTGCACTAACCAAATCCAGCATTTCTAAATATACACTGGAGTCTTATTTTCTCGCTCCGATCTTTATTTGCCTCTGGATAAGCTGAAACAGATGGGGTGTTTCACAACGGCCGCTTGCTGGGGATGTCAGATGGGGAAGGGCACACCCCTGCTGCTTTTCTGGGAAAAATCCCTTTTCCAGAAGCTCCATGAAGATGCTGCTGCTCCTCCGACCCTTCTCTGGCCTTTGCTGGGGCCATCTCCTGCCCATAAGAAGTCTCGGGGCTGCCGCAGAAGGAGCAAGAGGCCGGCAGGTTCCCAGCTCAGTGGCACAGGCAGGCAGCGGTGGGCTCTGGGATCTGGTGAGGGATGATGCCCTTACCCCTTTTGGAGGCTGGACTGAGAGAAACAGCCTCCTCGAGCAGAGGGAAGAGGTATCTAAGAGGCGAGAGGGGAGAAGACATGGTGGAAATCCCACAGTTGCATGGTGTGATGCTTTCCCTGTAGAGCTCGAGGTGGGCTTGCTTGTTTCAAGGTGCTTTGTGCCGGAGGTGGTGGTGGGCTTCTGCAGCCCAGGCAGCTGCCATGCCACACAGGAGGGATGCAGAGCTCCTCCATGGAGTGCAAGGGCATCCCGTTTGGCTTCCCATGGCTCGGGGTCTGGGTGTTGCTGCAGGGCTGGGGGCAGCCATGGAGGCTGCACATCCCCGTGGATGGGGGTGCTGGGGATCCGGAGTGAAGGGCTGCTGTAGGCCAGTCATAAAGCTAAATGGGAAAAGTCATTCTCCAGGCTTGAGTTTTTAAGAAAACCCCATCCTGGAACCAGGATAAATTCCAGAGCACAAGAGCCTGGCTCGGGTTTGTCCCCCAAAACAATGGCCTTGCAATCCGGGTGGGAGCCGGGCTGAGCCCTGCGGACTCATGTCACTGGTGGGCCAAACCGGATCCCACCTCCGGCTGCGGACCCAGAGCTTGGCGGGGCCAAGTCCATCCTTCCTCCCCTTGCTCAGCAGTGCCAGCGTGATGTGACCCAGCCGCCCGGAGCCATGTATGGGACCCGGCTGCTGGCCAGCACCCCTGGGTGTGTTTTGGCTTCGCCTCCCGGACGGCATCAGCCATGGTGTCTGCGGGGCAATGGGAGAGCCGTGCCTCACGCTGGGGACCTCGGTAAGGCTTCCAGGGGAGCTTGTTGGCCAGGGCTGAGGCAGCCTGCATGGTTCTCATTTACTGCGATATATTTTGGGGAAGGGGAGAGCTGTCTAGGGAGCGGAGAGGATTGAAATATGAAAGTTTAATTAAATAAAACCGTCAGTCAAAGAAAACAAGCCTTCCCACCCCAGCATCCTTCGACTGTTCAGAAGAGATGGGCTGCGGCCAAATCCAGTTGTAGTCGTTTAATGATTTGGCCATGAAGATTTTCACTTACAGGCTGTTTGAGGAAAATAAATGGAAAAAAAAAAAATATTCCATGCCTGGGGCTCCCTCTTAATAGAGACATAAAGATGACTTTGACATTCCCAGAACCGCAGTGCCCCAGGAAGACATGGGATTTGCATGTTATTGTGCAGGGCTGTTGGAGGAGAGCGGGGAGGGATTTTTTCTCTGGAGTGGGAAGCCGGAGCAGCAGAGTCCGCCTCTCTGAACATCCCCCCTCATCTCCTCCCTGGGGACGCGTGGAGGGAGGGGTTGTTGCTGGGGCTGTGTGCGGTTACCGTTAATGTTTGCTCATTCATGGGATTGATTGGTTTTTAATTAAGGAGGCCGTTTGGCATCCCAGCTCTCAGTATCAATGACAAAAAGGGACTCCTGTGTTCTTCCCCGGAGGTGGCATTGCCTTCCCCGGGCAGGGGACCAAGCAGTTGGTAGATGCACCATCCCAGAGCTTCAAAGAGTTCTGCTGGCATCTCCCCCAGCTGTGAAGCACGACAGAATAGCAGCATGCTGGGGCTCGGGGGATTTTTCCACATCCGTCCTTACCAGTGTTCATAGCGTTTTGCAAGACCCTTTGCCCCTGCCCCTCGCACGGAGCCCAGCTCTCCCCTTCTCCTTTGCGCGTGCCCCGCCACGTGCCAAGGTGGGGGCTGCGAGGACTTGTGGATCGCTTAAATTTGAGTGGAAACAAGCAGTTGGAGCCTGAGCCCTCCACATCCCGAGCCATCCACATCCCAAGCTCTCAGTGGGAGCTCCCCTTTGCAGGGAGGTTTGGGAGCAGCCTGTTCTGGGGAACTGGGCAAAGGTAAATTCACAGCTTTATCAGCACGTTCAGGGAAAATCACAGCTGGAAAAGAAATCCAGCCAGCTGCCTCCCTGCCATGTCAGAACCATGAGTCTTGGGTCCTAAGGGCACGTTTCAAAAACAGAGCCTGGGTTTACACCTCTCTGCAAGCACTGTTTGGCTGTGCATCCTCCCCGACCAGCACGGATGCATGGATGCAGCCGTGCCCACGCTTGGAGATGCCCACGGAGAGCAGCACGTGCTTGGGTACCCGTGCCTGTACAGTGCCGCGTGCGAGCTCACCCAGCCTCGCTCCGACTCAGGGCAAGTTTGGGGCTTGGGACCCAAGCAACATCAGTCCTAGCAGAGCTGGCTGGGTTGGGATGGGAGTTGTGGTCGTGCAGCAGGCAGGCAGGCAGCTCAGATTGCAGGCAGAGCAGCCCCATGTCCCCTGCGGACCTTGGCACAATGGCAGGCAGAGACCAGCCCCGCAGGTAGGGCCAGGAGCGGCGGGTCCGGAGATGGAGATGCCACAGCTGCGTTTGCTTGTGCTGAACATGCAGAAATGGAGTTGGGAAGGCCGGCCCGCTATGCTCAACCTCAAAGTCGCTAATAAAGCGGTAATTAAAAGCACTTGGAAGGAGCAGGCCTGCCAGAAGGAGAGGCAGAGACACAAGAGCCTTTCATTGTTTAACGGGTTGTGCCCATTCATCGGTGGAAGGCAGCCATGGAGGCTCTTGGCGTCCATCCCCTCTGCCCAGCGTGCAGGGTTGTTTATTCTCCTGGTTATGAAATGCGGCAGAAGGGCCGCACCAACATGATGCACCGAAAACACCAGGTCCAGGCCTGGGCCCGCAACAGGGCACAAACCCGGGAGCGGGAGCAGGAGCCTCTCCTCTCCATTTTGCCAGCACTGCCTGGAGGTGGCTGCAGTGCCAGGGGCTCCGGCACTGCTCCTCGCCCGCAGCCACCCGCCAGCCTGGCTGCTGCCTCGCCGATGGCACCGCAGCGGGCAGAGCCACCCCACTGCTGTGCGGTGCCGGTGGGTGGGAGATGACATCTCTGGGGGAAGCCTCCCTGCTAGTTTTCAGCTCCAATTCACTTCTCCTGGTGGGGGGAAAGACCCATGTGAAGAGCGAGGACTCCACCAAGGACCGGACTGGTGTGTGCCGCTCTGCTAATCGTCTTCTATTGTTTGCAGCTCAATTACACCCGACCGGGGCTTCCAAAGCTCAATCCAAGGCTGCTGGAAAACTGGAAGAACGAAGTGAAGGAGAAGGGCCGCATCAACTGTCCCAACAACGTAAGAACGTCTCTGTTCTTCTCCGGGCTGGCTGGTCTCAGTCTGCAGGAGGAAGGGGAGAGTTTTGGTGGCAGAAAGCCACCAAAGCCAGGTTCTTTTTGGGCCCAGGACAAAGCTAGCAGTGATGCTCAGACCCTCGTTTCACCCCTCTCCCTGGGGTTGCTGCCATGCCTGGTTGAAGCATGTCCAACCTTTGGGACCACCGGGCTTGGGGACCGGAGCACCCTCTCCCCAGGTGCCCTTGAGCTGACAGTTCAGCACTGCCCAGTTCGGGCTCTGGAGCTGCCTTTGGGAAGCTCCCGAGGTCCGGACGGGGCAAAGGCTGCGCGCTTTGTGCTCGAGAGCCTTTTTATGCAGAGAACCTGCTTTTCCCAGAGCAAAGCTGGAGCTGGTTTTAAGCCATTCTTTTTAAAGCCCTGTGACAGGCAAAGACCTCGGGGACATGGTGCGTGTGCTTCATCTTGCTGTAAAATGCAGCCTTGGCCTGAGCTGGCGGGGAGGTGAACTCCACCCTCGTGCTGGGGCCGTTGATTTATCATCTGAAACAAAGCCTTGCTAATGGGAGTTTTGAACGAGGCTGTTACCACAAGGCCGGGGGAGACACGCTGGCTAATTAATGTCATACACAGGCACTTTGAAAAGACGTTGCTCAGAAACTGGTCATGCTGCTGCCCGGGTGATTTCTCTTCTCCGTTAAGCGTCTGCTGTGGCTCCAAGAACTCCTGTAGCCCAGCAGGACCTCCCGACTGCTCACAAATGTACGTTTTCCATGGAGACATTTAGGGGAGACATTTTTCAGCCTGTTGCAGAGGGATGTGGCCACATGACTCCCATTAGCGTTAATAGGAAACGTGTGACCAGAGCCCTCCGCGTCTCGCAGAGCATTAACCTCACGCTGCTTAGCCTGGACCGGTGGCCTTGCTGGCACAGCGGGCTCCTGGCCCCGGCACAGATGAAGGCACAGAGTCGAGGGGGGATCGTGGCAAACCCTGCTTTGTTTCTTCCCGCAGTGCTGTGAAGCCATTTACTCCAGCGTCTCGGGGCTGAAAGCTCACCTGGCCAACTGCAACAAGGTAGGTCCCTCCTTTTACAGCCTCGGCTCAGAGGTGGGGTTGGGTTTTGGTTTTCTCTCCCTCCTGGCTTGTTTGGAAGCAACAGGCCAAGGGACGACAGCACAGGTTAAAGGATCGTGGCTGCTGGGCGGGCTGGCCGAGCAATGCCCCTGCCCATTGAATTGTCACCACTCAGCCCGTTGTCACACCATCCTGGTCCGGCCGCTCTCTCTCAGCACTGTCCTCCTGGGCAGGATCAAACCCACAGGCACAGGCAGATGAAGGCAGAGAGGCTCGAGCTGAGCAGATGATGATGGAGGGGATTTAGCTACCACCCCAGCCTTGGAGGAGAGGTCTTGCAAAGTAAATGTCTCACCCAAGAGCCCAGACCTCTAACACACCAAGTGCCTCAGAGTCGGAGCAGCGGGAGCAAGCCTGCCTGCCTCGCATCCTCCTGCCTCGGCATCCCCGTCCTGCAGCCCGTGCCCAGCTTGGTTCCTGCAGCCCCTGAGTTGTTCATGAGCCCTCGGCTACCCAGCGTGGCCAGCACCTCACATGCAGCCATGCATCAACCACAGCAGCTCAGAGCCAGGGAGCTGCGTTTTGGAAGCTGAACATTTCCCAAGGCAGGTGGGAATTGGGAGTCTTTCTCCATTGATTTGGGCAGCCCTGCAGCCCCTCTGGAAGCCCAGCAGCTTCCCCAGCTGGAGGGACACTGGTGCGGTGCCTCCTGGGGATGGAGCTGAGGCTGGAAGAGACGGCCGGTCTGTGCAGAGAGCAGTGCCCTCTCGCTCGATAGAGCAGCAGCAGTGCTGCCGGCTGCAGTGAGCTCTGGTGGCCCGCAGCTGCCACAGGGGAGGGATGGGGAGCTCAGCGTAGGTCCCTCAAATTGGAACCGAGTAAGAGCTGGTAAAGCTTTATACCCTGAAACGTTTCCAGCTGCAGCTTCCATTGAATGGAGCTTCCAGGAGGCAGCTCCAATACATACCCCGTGGTTATTAAAAACACAAACTCCCGCGCTCCTCCAACACTAGCTGGAACATCAACCCTTAATGAGATCATTTAGAAAATGGGCTGCAGAGATCGGGCAGAAGAAGCTGTATTTATGCAGGATGAAAGTGCAAACACAGGAGACTAGGGCAGTTCCTTTGCTAGGAAAGGAGCAGCAAACGGTCTCTGAGAGAAAATGGAGCCATTTTCTGTCTGGTTCTGTGCACAGAAAGCAGCCAGGTGTTTGCACGAGCATTTTCTTTAACCGCAGAGCTTCACCCTCCAGGTCTGGTGAGTCCGGCGTAGCCAGGGCTGGGTGTTGGGGGTCAGCACTGGGAGAGTTTGCTGCTTTGTGTCTCCCACATGCTGCCGTCAGCGGGACTCTCACCCTTACAGAGGATTTAGTTTTGCAATGGATACATGCGCCACCAAATCTGGAGTAAATCGCAGCCCTTCCTGAGCTGGCCTGTGATTTCTTCTGTAAAATCCTGCAGAATTGGTTGAAGTACATCAAGCCTTACCAAGAGAGGAGGTTGCTCCCAGGCAACACCCCATCCTCAGTCGGGACTGATGCACCAAGGTGATTTTTGCATGAGTATTTCTGAAGCCAGCCTACAGCGAGCCAGGCCTACCTGTGTCCTGCCTGTCTCTGAAATGAAAGACCTGTCTAACTCCAGATTTACAGCACAGAGTCAGCTATGGAGAAATTCCCAGGGAGCATATATATCGCCTGGAGGGGCCCATCCATAAACCCCTCGTCAATAGAGAGCACATTATCTCTCCTGTGCCGTGAACTACGGCAGAGCCAGGAGATCAGTCATCCCCACAAGGGCTCTAATGACAGAAATCCAGCAGTTGCTGTGTCTCTTTGACAGCATAAAAGGAAAATTAGGTGAGTCTGTTGGACATAAATTAGATGGTGGTTCAATCCCAGGAGATCACAAATCTGCTGACAGTGAGGAAATGGGGCGGTTTGCCCCGTCAGCCTCCTGCACACCCAGGGACACACACGGCGTCGGTGCTAACAGCCAGTGTTGGGGATGCACAGGCAGCAAAATCTGCCACTCGCTGCCCTCCGAGTATCTAGGACCCGGCACTTAGAGGCCTGGCACCAATGCCATGACAGCCGCTACCACCAACGCTGCAGCGGCACAACCGGCACGGGCTGAAATTGAGAGCAGAAGATGTGGTTGTGAGCTCCCAGACCGAGGGCTGGCCAAGATCTAGTGGTTTAGAAATGAGCATTTATTTTCTGTTGCTTTGAGGTTCAAACATCAACCTCCCTTCACGGGGTGGGGGGAGCAGGGCCAGGGGGGGAGCCACTCTTCCAGGGCATTTTTGGCTCTGCTTGGGGCTGCAGGAGGATGCTCTGTCTTGCAGGGGGACCATTCGGTGGGCAAGTACCGCTGCCTCCTGTGCCAGAAGGAGTTCAGCTCTGAGAGCGGAGTCAAGTACCACATCATCAAGGCTCATTCGGAGGTAAGGAAATGACTGGGGCTGGTCCGGGCTGGTCCCTGCTCCAACGCACCCATCCTCGGGCTGCCCCGGTCCATCCATACGTGTCTGCCAAGAGCAGAGCACAGCAGCTCACAGCAGCAGCAGCAGTGCTGTGACATTCTGGGGGGGACCTCCCTGTCCCCCTTTGGGTCCCCGACACCCCCAGGCTGGTTGCAGCTGCTCAGCACCAGCCAGCTTGTTCTCGGGGAAGTGATGCCAGCGGGACGTGGGGTGGTCCAGGCTGGGGCAGGCGAGGCATGGGCTGTGCGTGCCGGTGCCTGGCCCCAGGATGGTCACTAACCCCCGTGTCACCCTGCGGACACAGAACTGGTTCCGAACCTCCGCAGAGGCCAGCCGGAAAAAGAAAAGCAGGGAACAGCTTTCTTCCAGCAAAGAGGAGAAAAAGAAAAGCACAAGCGGGAAGAAAAGGGGGAGGAAACCCAAGGAGAGGCCTCCCGAAATGTCCCCGAAGGGCAGAGAAAGCGTGGCAGCAAAGACTAATCACAAGAAAACCCTCGAGCACTGGGAAGGCTCCCGAGGCAGCCCCGACGGGGACGAGCGTGTCCCCAAGCCCCCAAGCCAGCGGAAGGGGGGAGCCAGTAAGATGCCCGAGAAATGAGCAGCTCAGAGACTCGTCTCCGAGGATTTGTTTACAGCCCAGGGTAACAGGGTGGGGGTCTCTCCCGGTTTTCTGTCCCCCTCATCCCACCTCCCCCCCCACCCTCCACTCACCCCCTTTTTACAAAAAAAAAAAAAAGAAAAAAAAAAGAGACAGAAAATACCAATTAACCACTTTAAACAAGTCACGGACCTTGTTTCACACTGGAAAACAAAGAGGATCAAGGAAGCTGGACCGTTCTCCACCCCCTGCCCATGTACATACCCCCCTGCCTGACGGGACCCTGCTGCCTTCCCCCTCCTCCCATGACTTCCCTTTTTACTCCCTGCACCAAACTGGTGACGCTTGAGCGAAAGAAAAGTGCAATAGCAGCAGGGTCCCCTTGGACGGGGTCTCTCTGCAGCTGTGTGCCGGGGCAGGGGGCTGCCCGTGGCGGTGCTGCCTGCCCATCCGGGCAGCCTCCGGTGGGCTCCAGCCTCCCGGTGCAGGCAGCGCCTGCATCCCTGCTCCCAGGATGATGTTTCCAAAGATGTTCGACCCATGCAAGCGGCCGGGCAGGGGCAGAGGGACAGCAGGGTCTGGCAGTGGATACTGGGGGGGTCCTGGTCACTCTCACCCTGCAGCCTCGGGCCGAGAGGGGATGTGTTTTGGCAGGGACCAGCTCGGTGCAGGGGTTTGACTCGGCAGCATGAAGCACAGGCAGAGGAACGAGCCGGGAGCGTGGCGGGGGTCCGGCAGAGCATCGTCCCGAGACGGCAGGGCTGGCTGTGGCGGCGAGATGGGGTGCGGGAGGTGTGAACACCCCTGGAAGTCGATGGGAGAGGGGGGTTGTTGGAGGACTGGTCAGGTTGAAGGGTTTAACCGAAAGTTGCGGGAATGCTGCGAGCACCGTGGAGCATCGCAGTGAGACCACGGAGGGGGGTGCAATGGGGGGAGCTGCGCCCTGGTGCTCAAGTTGTCTTTGCGAGCGTAGCCGGCCTCGGAGTGCTGCAGCGGCAATGGCAATGCCGCGATGGCAGCGCCGGTGTCAGGGTGAGCCGGCAGCCGTTGAGCTGCCCGACCGGCGTGGGGGGGGCACGTCCAGCTAGAGGAAAAGGTGATTCAGTGTCCCCATCGTGCCCCATCCCAAAGGTGCCGATTGCCCAGGAAGGAGGAATGGGATTTCGGTCACCCAGCTGCAGCCGTGGGAGGTGTGTAACAGGGACGGGGGGCAGCATCAAGTGACAATCATGGGTCCTGCTTTCGGGCATGTTGCAGTCGCCTTGTCCCTCCAGGCTGGGACCCACCGTGGGGTGAGTCTCGGCTCCCCCGAGATGCATCCAAGCCCCCGACCATCTTCCTCGGGGACAGGGAATCCCCACACAGCGCGCTGTCCCTTGCTGGTTCTCTTTCCCCGGGCTTTTCTTTGCGTCCGTACTAATATCGTCGTAACACCTCGCTCCGGCCTGGAGGGAACCATCCCCGGACCGGGATGTGTCTGTCTCCAGACAAAAACCAGGCTACCTCGGTCCTTGGGAAACGGGCACGTTTTCTCTCGGTAACAGAACAGAAAACCTTAATTTGATTTTTTTCCCCTGTGCAGAGCTGGGAAGGTGGCGTCGGGGGGAGGAGAGCTTCTGCTTTTACTTTGGTCAATTAAAAACTCAACCCTCCGTTTCCTTCACTGCTCTTCACCGCCCACTGGAGGCTCAGTATCGCTTCCCTGCTCCGAGGAGCCGCTCAGTAATAATTAACGTCCTTCTCCACTGGCAGGTTATTAGAGCCACGGAGGGAGGGAGAGGATGGTAGTGTCTGAAGCCAGGGCAGCTTCTCGGGGGAGCCAGTGCTCCTGCTCCGACCGCGGCTCCCGGCAGCTGGATGCCACCATCTGCATCTCCCAGCACGCTCAGCCGCAAACTGGGCACGTGCCTGCGGGCGAGGGAACCCGCCTGAGCGCTGCTGGTTGTGCCGGCCTTCGAAGCAATTAGCGGAAAAGCTTAATTAGTCACTGCGGCTCAGCCTGTTCGCCACTTGCGCTTCATCCAGTCTTTGTTTTGATGGGTCACCGGTACAAATCCTGCCTCCCCGGGGAAGGGAGGAGAGCCTCAGGAGCCATAGGGCCCACGCTCTCAGAGCCGTCTCGGTCTCTGTCACGACGGGGATGTGGGGACACTGTCCTGGGTGACGTTTTGCTGTGCTGAGCCCGAGGGACAGCCGTGGCTGTCCGCAGAGCACCGTGCTCGCTCGCCCGAAGCAATAACCGCTGGAAGGGATGGCGAGGAGGGACCCCCGCACCTGAGGAAGGTGCTCGGGGGGCACGCCGTGGATGTTGGGGGGGGCAGGCAGCAGCAGGGGCCCCGGCACAGAGTTTGGCACTGAAATCTCCGCAAAGGGGCAGAGGGAGCCACTGGATCCCAAAATCTTGTCCCACCATGGGGCAAAGCCCCCCGGCAAAGCTTCATGCCCTGGCCTGGGGAGGGGGGACTCAGGTGGCCCAGGCTGCTGGCTTGGATGTTCACCTTATAATCCCCACCGCCTCCCCTTGGGCATAGCACAGGGCTCAATTCTCATTAACATGCAATTAATTGGCTTCTCACTGATTAAATTAACAGACAGTCCTGTGGTCTGTGCTGAGGGTGAGGCCCAGTGCAGGAGCTCGGATGGGAGCTGCTCAGGGCAGGGGAAGGGCTGGCTTGGGGGGGTCGTTGTGGGGTCCGGCTCGAAACCCATCCTGCTGCTTCAGTAACGAGAGTGTCTGCAAACGAGCGTCCTGGGAGGAGCGAGGGGCAGGAGCGGGGACAGCCGCGGTGGCCTCGCAGGGGTGACACCGTCCCGGAGGGGACCCCGGGGACGGTCTGGGGGGTCTCGGGGCAGGCGATGGGCTCGGGGCAGTGGGGACGGCGGTCCCGGTGCTGGGGCTGTCCCCTGTCACCCTCAGAGCTGGGAGACGCTCCTCACAGCCCCCTGCAAAAGCAGCGCCTTGGTCAAATGGAAATTTTTATGAGCAAGTGAAATCTTCAGGGTTTTTTTTTTTCCCCTTAAAAGGTATTTTTCCCCCAGTAGTCATGACTCAAGAGGAATATGTTCTCCCACCGCCGCCTTCTCCATAAGACGTCCTTTAGTCTCCTGCTTGTCCAGGGAAGGCTCCGGAGCGATACAGGGAATACTGGCAGCTGCCTGCTCCGTGGCACGAGAGCTGGCAGGGACAAGCCGCGGTGGCACCGACGGAGCCCGGCGGGTCGTGCCCGGCAGGTCGTGCCCGTTGGGGTGCTCCCAGCCAGGCAGCAGCCGAAGGGAGAAACTCACCTTAATCCGGAGGGGTGGGTGGCAGCTGCGGGGTGAGACGGGGGAACGAGCGCGTCCTCTCCCCTTCCGTCCCCTCACCCGCGGGGGTTTGGAGACCCTCGGGTCCAGCAGCGGGGAATAACCTACAGTTAATGTAAAGCCCCGTGAAGGGGAGAGGGGTGCTGGGGAGCGGCGGCATGGTGGTACCCCCGCGGTCCTGACCCGCTTCCCCTAGGTGCTCGGGGGGTCGTTCACGGTAAGTAAATTGGGAGTGCGGGGGCTCAGGGCGCGGTGGGGGCTGCGTGGCAGCTCCTCGGGCTGTGTCCCCGAGTGGCACCGGCCTCTGCAGCACCCTGGGGACCCCGACACCGTGGCCCCACGGCTCCCTCGCCTCCACTGCTGCAGAGACCCACCGTCCCGTCACCCACATCCCCGAGGAAAGGGCTAAAACTCCGCGGGGTGGGGGGCGGGTGGGCTGCGACCCCCCAGGAAAACCCCACGGAGCCGTCCTTGAAAGCTTCGATCGCGGGGGGCTGCCGCGGGCAGGGAACCCTCGGCACCGACGTGGCACACCGGCGAGTTCGGCTGTGCCACACCGGCACGGCCGCCTGCCCCGGGGCAAGGAGCGAGGGTCTGAGTCCGGCCACGGTGGAGCTGCCCCGGCCTGGAGCATCGCTCGCACCCGTGAACATTGGGAGCATTTTGTTCTTTTCTTTCTCTCCTCGTGACACCCATCCCACGGCATATCCGAATGTTTCTCGTCGATGCCAGTTATTAGTGCATAAGTGTATTTTGGGGAAAAAAAGAAAATGGAAAAAAAAAAAAAAGAATTTTCAATTTATCACTTGTAACCATATATATAAATATATAAATATATATATTAAAAAGTGTTTATTTGCAAAAAATAAAATTGTTTTAACAGTAAACTATCTTATAATAAACTCCCGATTTGTGACGATCTGTTCTTTTGTTAATCATTGACAAATCCTCAGTTGGAGAGTACTGTAACAGCAGCTCTTAACAGCCGCACCGCCGAGCACCGCGGAGGGGTAACTCGATGTACTGTATGTATTAAAAACAGCTGTATCGAATAAATGTTTATTGATTTTTTTTATTATTACTATTATCATCATTATTTTGCAGTTCGGTGGGAGGGTTTGACGCAGGAACGGCCGGGTTTGTCCTTCCTCCGTGGGCGGCTGGTGGTGGCTGAGGAAAACTGCTGGGGAGACCTGGCTTCGTGCCGGGGATGGAGCCCGTCATCTTCATCCCAGCGGTGCCTCCAAAACCGGGGCAGGGTAGCCGGGGCGAGGACCAGCGATGCTTCCCACACCAGTGCTGGGCACGGCCAGCAATCCCCAGTGCCAGGAGGATCCCTGCTGCCCACAGCCCAGTGCCCAGCTGCCCCCACTCGTACGGCAAAAATCCCCCTCCCAAAGCTTCCCCCAATCCGCCCGTCCTCCCATTCAGCAGCACCCAGCATCTCCCAGCCCCAAGGGCCGCATCCAGCATAGGACCTCTCATCCCCGGGGAGCTCTGCGGGACCCGGGGCACCCCCCGGCCACCCCAGCGTGGGAATAAATCCTCTTCCGCTTCCTAATGTCTTTTTTGGCACCGAACCCAAAGAAGCGCCAGATTTAGGCTGATCTCCTCGTTGCTGACCATTAACCCTGCCTTTCCCGATGGACGGTCTCGGCTCCCCAAGGGCGTGACAGGGACCGTGGGGAGCAGCACTTGCCCCGGCACCCCCCCAAACACGCGGCACCACAAACCTCAGCCCCGGGGGACCCCGGGTGCGAGAAGGGAGCACGATGCCGAGTAAAACCAGGTCCCCCCCAGTGCCCCATGGGGCCGGGGTCCTCCCAGCGCCCAGGGACCATTTCAGAGTGCGGGGCCACCCAAATCCCCGCTGCTCCCGGCTCTGCTGGCAGCTGTGGGGTGGTGGGGGGGGTGCTGTGTGTTGTGCCCCTCAGCTGCTTGGGCGTGGGTGTTCCTGCTCAGCTGCCCCACAGCACCCACCTGTGCCCACAGCACCACTCAGAGCCCCACAGCACCCACCCGCACCCTACAGCACCCACCCAGGCCCAAAGCACACACCCGTGCCCACCCTACCCACTTGCATCC